CTTTTTCTCAAATGTAATCAAAATTGCCTGAAAAATGCAGGGAACCCACGAGACACGCGTCGTTTCCAGGTACACACACAACTTCATACTGTATATTCACATCACTGATAATGGGTCTATTTAATCAACATGAAATATTTAATGAAAAGGCTGTCCCTTACAGTACTGAATTACACTTAAGAAATGCAATAGTAAAAACTATAAATGTAGCCAACACTGTTACTTTAATTCATTCAATTTATGTACTGTTTTTAATAGTCCTTGTGCCACATCAAAATGTCCTTTTGTGCCCATCATTTTCTGCACTAGACTACTAGTAAAATATCCTGTTCTTTGCAGGTGCTGGTCTCTACCACAGCCTCTGTTAAGGCCCACATTCTAGCCATTTCAGATAATATATTTGTCCATAACAATTCAAAGCATGGCAGAAGACCAAGAAGATTTGAGCTGATTGAAGGTACAGTAATTACAAACGTGCTTCTAATAATTCTATGATTACTAATGATTCAGTTCAAAATCAAACGCACACAACTAACTATGCAATTCAAATCAGTGTGGTCACTGAAAGTTTGTTCATATGATAATGTGTAGGTAAATATACAGTAGAAGTAGAGTATACAATATTTTTTGATTGTTTGTGATTTCTTTTAGCATGCATTTGCTGTAGTTTATGTAGACCTATCTCTGAAGTGCAGTACCCTTACTTGATGTATTGAGCTAATATTTGTGTGTTAATTTAGCTGAGATCCCCTGCATCAAGGCCATCAGTCCGAGTGAAGGTTGGACGTCAGGTGGAGCCTCAGTGATTATTATTGGAGATCAGTTCTTTGATGGTCTACAAGTGGTTTTCGGAACAGTTATGGTCTGGAGTGAGGTGTGTAACAGTCTCAATCTCTGTTGCCAAACAAATTACTATAAATGTGACCCTGGACCACAAAACCAGTCTTACGTCACTGGGGTATATTTGTAGCAATAGCCAAAAATACATTGTATGGGTCAAAATTATTGATTTTTCTTTTATGCCAAAAATCATTAGGACATTAAGTAAAGATCATGTTCCATGAAGATATTTTGTAAATTTTCTACTGTAAATATATCAAAATTGAATTTTTGATTAGTAATATGCATTGCTAAGAACTTCATTTTGGACAACTTTAAAGGCGGTATTCTCAATATTTAGATTTTTTTGCACCCTCAGATTCCAGATTTTCAAATAGTTGTATCTCGACCAAATATTGTCCTATCCTAACAAACCATACATCAATGGAAAGCTTATTTATTCAGCTTCCATATGATGTATCTCAATTTCAAAAAATTGACCCTTATGACTAGTTTTGTGGTCCAGGGTCACAAATACATTTTTGTTTCATTTTTAGCTTCCTTTTTCCATTTGTTCATTTTTTGGACATCCTTCACCACAGATTTCCCACAGAGCTTTGCTAATTTTGGAAGGTGTGAAATACATTGTTGTCAATATATATGCCTTCAGTAATTTTGTTTCATATTTTCAAACAATGATGTAGATGATGTACTCTCTCTACAGAGAGATTTCTGCTTCCTGAGAGGGTGATGACTTTTTCCTTTTTGTTGTAGGTGATTACACCACATGCGATTCGTGTGCAGACTCCACCTCGTCACATCCCTGGTGTTGTAGAAGTTACACTGTCCTACAAATCCAAGCTGTTCTGCAGAGGACCTCCAGGACGCTTTATTTACACTGGTAAGAATTATAAAGTTTGGAAAAACTGACAAATTTTGCAATTTACAGTTACCATAGTTATACCATGGAATATTTTGCGTTTTTAAGAATATCTGAAAAGCAGATGTATGATTTTTTTCCTGTTAAATAATGCCTTTTTTGGAAGCTCAGACAATCTAATTTGTTGTTGCTTGTCTGATACATTACAGTTTAACTTTGAAAAGTGTTTCACTTTTAAGCTTTAAATGAGCCAACCATTGACTATGGATTCCAGCGGCTGCAGAAGGTGATTCCTCATCATCTAGGCGATATGGAAAGACTACCAAAAGTGAGCCAGAAATGCTTAGTTGATTTCTTCCTAAATTCTGTGTTGTCCATTTTAATTGTTCTAGGTTCTGTTTACAATTTTTAATTCAATTGTAAGCCATTAAATAGCATGTCTAATAAATTTAACTGTCCAAAAGATAATTTTTTCTGTGCTCATTATTTTATTTGACATTTCAAAATACAATTAAAAATTATTTTGATTGACAGGAGGTCTTACTGAAGAGAGCAGCTGATCTTTTAGAGATGTTTTATGGAATGCCTCACAACAACCAGGTCAACATAACATTTAGATTTACTCAGGCTTGCTATCCCGATATGTTTGCTGCTGAAATCCAGAGTGGGAAGTGATGTAATTTCTATGCATTTATATGTGTCTGACCATAGGAGATTATTCTGAAGCGTGCGTCTGATATAGCAGAGGTAATCCACGCCATCCCACGAAACCCGTCCCACACAAATTCACATGGAATGATGGGTGTAAACTCCTTTGATGCACAGTTACCCATGAACACAGAAATTTCACCAGATGTAGAACGAGGTATGTTGTATAAATGCATTTGAAAATGGTACAAATGCACCACAGCAGCGTGTTAATAAATGAATGTCTCTCAGTGTCTCTTTCAGTGGGTTTCAGTCGGAGTTCAAACAGTGGCTTCATTGCAGGCAGCACATCCCAGCAGTCTGAATTCAGCAATACCAATACATGCATGAATACACACACATATTCACACTCTCACTCCAACATGCCAAGACACACACACTCAAACACACACCTGTCCATGGCTGGGCACACACAAACACACACACGCCCTTCTGTGTCAAACTTCTCTGTGGCCACACAGTCATTCTTAGACAGTCCTACAGCGGACACACAACACTACATTGGTAAGAACACAGCTTTCTCGCTGTCTGTAACTGTCAAGCATGGGGAATTTTTTAACCAATTTTTTTCCCCAAAAGGTCAACATTCAAAATTGGTTGCAGCTGAATTATGAATTTATCTGAATTTAAGTTCATTTTAATTCTACTTCCTTGCATTCAAATTATGATTGCTGCACAACCCAGAATTTAATTAGCATTTATAATTAACCCAATTATACTTACACAAAATAACATTTGTAAATTATATTTGTTGTAAAAATCCATGTATACTATGGACACATTTCTGTTTATTTTTGAACATTATTATAATCAAGATATTATTAATCTGAATCATGGTCAAATTGCATAATGATCATAATAAATCATTTACACTCATCCTGAAGACAAATATATATATATAGAGAGAGAGAGAGAGAGAGAGAGAGAGAGAGAGAGAGATATTCGTGGTTCATTTAAACCTTCCTTGTCTCCTTTTCTTTCATGCATGTCTGTAGTGAAGCAAAAAAGTGCATTTGCTCCAGTTCTGAAGCTGCAGTCCTCAACAGAACAAGCTTCAGGTGTCCCCGTCTGCACGGTAATGGCACATGACATGCATGTATTTACACACAAGCTGCTCGCCTGCTCTTTTCATCTACCCTATAATACCTTAAATTGTGACAGTACATAATGTACTGAGTGTGCAAATTTGACAGACTCATGTCTATTCTGTTTGTTTTTTACAGCCTTGCATGGACTAGTGACACCAGTCGCACTCTCACATGGACAAATGAAAAACTCCATTTAGTTGTGATCTTTGTAGTCAGGGAACAACAGCATCTGTTTTGCATTTTGAAGGTTCTCCCAGTGCAGGCAATACAAAAACAATTTAAATCATATTGGTTGGAGATAAAGCAACTTTTTTGTTATATGTCGTAGACAATATGCACCTCTCTATTATTAGTGTATTTGTGGTCTGTGCCCAAGCCATTAAATAGAAATATTACCTATGTATGTTAACATTGTGTGTCTTCTTGCTGAGTTCTGATTGGCTACTTAATCCCTCAGAACACTATCATTCAAAAGATTGGAGTCAGTAAGATTTTCTCTTATGCTCAACGAGGTTGTGTTTATTTGATAAAATATTGTAAATTATTATTACTATTTAAAATAACTGTTTTCTATTTTAATATGTTTTCAAATGTAATTTATTCCTGTGATGGCAAAGCTGAGCCTTCCGCAGCCATTATTCCAGTCTTTAGTGACATTATACTAAAGTTAAACTAAGCTTTTCCTGGAACACTTGTCTACTAAAACTAAAATTATTTAAAGAAAAGGAAAAATGGTCTAAACATTGGACATGGATTGGTACTAGACTAACTGGTGACAATGACAATGGTTATTTTCTAGCAAGGATTTATTTCAGCCCAGGTTTCACATGGACTATGTCTCTACAAGTCTATTCTTCATGTCTCATTAAATTCTCATATAGGTTGAGAATTGCTCTTATGGCAGGGAGGCAGCTCTATTTGTGTTCTAGAAGATACTTCACTGAATTCTCAAATTAGCTCTCTTTCAAACGATCAAGTTTTACTATAAGGAGGAGGCATCAAAAATAAAACCAAATGCTGAACATGGAGTTTGTCTCTTAGAAATCTGAGCGCATGAGTGAGTCCTCCCTGTGTGTGAGAGAGGAGGCTGCACATTCAGCTGAACACTGAAAATCCTGTTGTAGATGTTAAAACCCCTTCACAACAGTACCAATGTGTGATTTGTCTTTTGTTCACATCTGTCTTTATGAAATGGAGTGCAAAATGAGGAGCTATTCTCTTTAATAAGAAGAATTGATGTATGAATCAAGTATATTATAATTTCTCTGTTGTCAAGATTTGCTCGACCTGAATCAATCAACATTAAATATGTTATTATAAAACGCTGCTGGAGGCAGATTGAGAGCAAAATTGTCCAATCGCAGAGCTGAGCGCAAATATGCTGTGCTCTGATTGGTCGGTTGTCCTTACATCGTTTACCAAGCAGGAAGTGAAATGAATGTTCAGAAGACATTAAAAACGTCCATTGCTCGTTGTAATCACGTATGTTGTATCTAAGTTATTTTTCTGTTTGCTAATACGCTCACTAGTGTAATAAAAAAAGAATGTCATCTTGTGATTACTGTCGGTGATTTTACTTCGGCGTGAAAAAGTAACTGTTGATGTTTTGAGTGTGCAAAACTAGCGTGCGAGTTTTTGTCTCACGTGATTTCAGTATATATATATATTGCATGTGTTTAACAGCGTTTTGACAGCAGATTGCTTGCTGTGTGCAGTTTGTGATGTCTGACAGCGGTTCTTGTGTGCTGCGGGATGTGGCTCTCTGCTCGCCAGTAGGAGAAATCCTGCTGAGCGGCTGTGAGAAGGGAGTTCATACCATTAATATAAAACTGGGAACAGACAAAGAGGAAAGGTAACTCTCACAAACATGACACAAGCTGTCAGACATTAGCCAGTCATAACATGTAAACCACACGGTCGCCGTGATTGTGCAAAGTAAGACATGTTTCTGTATCAACATTATTGTCCAAAACATAGACCTAACCCTATCCATAATCTCTAAAATCAGAGGGAAATGATAGTTGAATCACAAAGGTGTAGAAGCACCTAACTCTGGTTGTAAGGCTAAAATTGACATTTCTTGTAAACTTATCCCTCAATTATGATTGGTTGATTGGAAAGTTGTTCCAGGATCAACAAGGATGTTGATCCAGGAACATGTTGCACTTGGTAAAATCGCGTTCACGAAACCACACGTAGTGCTTATTGGGGGAAACTAAGCTATTTTAAATTCTGAATCAACTGAACCATTTGTTTCACAAAATGATTCACTGTTTCGAAGCGCTCGAAACATCACATGCGTCACAAAACGTTTATTGATGGAGTCGTGTGGATTATTATGGTGTTTCTATCTGCTGTTTGAACTCTCATTCTGACGGCACCCATTCACTGCAGAGGATCCACGGTGAGCAAGTGATGTAATGCTAAATTTCTCTAGATCTGCTCCGATGAACAAACAAATTAATCTACATATACATTGCATTTTCAACAAAATTTCCTTTAATGTGTATCCTGTTGTAGTGTACACCCTGTTGGCCAGTCAGAAATGAGCCCTGAGTTGCAGCGCTGTGTTGACTGGCTTCAGTGCTACTTCATGAAACCCGAGTCCATCAGCACTCTTCCTTTGCCTGCCTTACACCATCCGCTAATGCAGAGTGGTTAGTCACATACACACACTACTCCACTATATCTGTAGTTCATTTCAAGTAAAAACAAGGCTTTTAACTGCCACTGTTTTCCTCCCTCTTTCTCTTTCTCAGACTCTTTTAAAGCACATGTGCTGTGGACTCTGTTTAAGGAAGTGGGACTTGGTAAAACGGTCTCCTACAAGCAGCTTGCTGAAATGATCGGCAATCCAAAAGCTGTGCGAGCAGTGGGTTCAGCCATGAAGAATAACCCGGTGAGATTGTTGCAATGATCATGACAGATTGATTTATCTGGAGGTATTTTTTCTCATTTGATGCAGCCTTTTGTTTGTTGTTCTCTTAGGTTCCCCTGATAGTGCCGTGCCACCGGGTGCTGCGTAGTTCAGGGGACAGTGGCTTATATATGGGAGGAAAGGGAGATGATATTAAAGTTTGGTTGCTCACTCATGAGAAAACAACATTGGAGCTCAATGCATCAAAGAGTGAAAAATCCATCTGATGGATCCCAAAACCACTTCACGCTGCTTCTCAGTTTGTTCACAAACATTTTGTTAATTACGATTTCTGATTGATTGGACAAATTATTTTCCACTTTAGCAAACAGACCCTTTGTTGTTATCCATATATCTTCTATAGTTAAAGGAATATATTGGAATTGTGTTTTTGATTAGTTGTTCTAGTTGTCAGTGTTACATTGACATTGTTAAAATGTGATTTGAAAAATAATTTTGTATTTATGCTGTTTAAGCCAAAGGATTATGGAAGAAATTGTGATTTTTTTTTTTTTTTAAATATCTTTTTTTTTTTAGCTGGCATGCATAAGTGATATTTTTTGCAGCAAATAATTTTGTATTCCGTATCTCATTTAGAATTATATAAGAAATGTTTTAAGCTAATTAACAGCTCTGTAAAGCAAATAAAATGTGTTAATGGTGGATCAATAGTCAATAGAATAATAAAAAAAAGTTGTATATTTTTGAAGGAAGTCTGTTATGCTCACCAATGAAAAAATGTATCAGGGTTTCCACAGAAATATTAAACAGTAAAAACTTTTCAACATTAATCTCCAATAATAACTGATCATATTTGAGCACTAAATCATTCTATTATAATGATTTAAGAAGGATTATGTTACATAGAAGTACAAATAAAAGATCATAAAAAAGAACCCACTTTATATTGAGTGTCTTTATCTACTATGTACTTTTAAATTAATGATTTGATACAATGCATGTATCAGGTACATTAATGTTTTTACATTGTAAAAATACCCTCATCTAATTACATCTAGCTTCCCTTAAACCTAACCAAACCACTAATCCTGTCCCTAAACATATTCCAAGCTTTTGACCAGTAGTGTGTATTTTGTCACACAAATAAATGTGTCATCACAGACATTTGTATTTTTTAATCATTAGCAATTATGTGTTACTCCATAATGTGTCTAACATAATGCAAATTTAGATATACTCTTGAGCACAAATATCAAAAGTTTCTGATTAAATAGTCTGAGAATCAGCATTTAGCTGCCATACACACACCTCCACTTGTAATATCTAGTTCCTCTGGATGTCAGACAGACAGTCATGATCTCTTTTAATGGGAGGATGAAGGAGGGGCGTCCCTGGGGAGATCTCCACAGTCAGTGGTGTGATACTGCCTTATATTGTGTTTGATCACATGTGACATGCGCTGCTTCCACTGCCTCAGGCTGTGCTGATCTCTCACTAAGCCTTCACATACGGCTTCATGCCACCTTACAAAAGAGCAATTTGTGGCTGACAGAATAAAACAGTTGGATCATGCTCAGTGAACGCAAACCCTCCCTGCAATTTCAAATCATTTAATGGGAGTGTGGGAGCTGCTATCATAACTGTACGGGTTTGTAACCATTTCCTGTGACACTTTACACAAAAAGGTTAGACTATAGAATATAAAACTCTTTCACTTTCTTTTTCCTTTTCAGTAGATGATAAAAAAAAAAACATTGGATGTTTTCTATTAAATAATATTTGTAATTTACCAAATGTAACATGTTGGTTTGTAGTTATTGAAAATATCTTTGTTTAAAGAGTAAATTACTTAATTTTAGTTTTTGCCTTAAAAAAATCTCATGTTTAATTCCCTCAGATGCTTTAAAACCACTATTATGATATTTGCCATTTTAGCCAAGTTTTTTAATATCTATATACATGTCTGTATATATTGTTTTATTTTTAGTTATTTTAGTAGATCAAGTTAAACTAAATAAAAATAAATAATGTTGCTTTGGATATTAGCTGAAATAAAATAAGTCTGTTTTTATTATTTTATTTCATTTAATTTTTTTTTATTCCAAATAACACCTTCTTTTTTTTTGCATATATTTAGTTAATAACCATATCCAAAGCAATTACGAATGAGGAATACAAGCGTTTCATATTACTCAAAAAATATAGCAATCCACAGTTTCAAACATCTTCTATAATAGTACAAGTGGGAAGGATATTTTATAGTGTTAATATTATTATTTCCTACAATATCTGTGGTAGAGGTTGAATGGTTGAGCACACATTGCACGCTATATTAATCTCTATAATGTTTTTAAAAATATAATAGTATTATTAGTAGGTCAGGTGTATCAAGGATCAAGTCTGATAAAGTTTAAATTATAAAAACCGAAAATGTCTTTGTGTCTGTCTTTGTGCATTTATTGTACGGTTTGCTGCAGAAGCTTTTCTTTGGTGCTTGAAACTTGTAGAAACTTCACAGGAAGTGATGTTGGGTGAAGTTCTTTTGAGATGTCAGCAGAGGTGGAAGGCTAATCTGCTGAGGATAAGACAACATATACTAACAAATCCATGTAAGGTATAAGATTTAACATTTAGATTATTATACACTTGAACAAGGAACATGGTCTAGGGGGAGTATCCGTGTAATTAGTCTACTGTAAATCAGTTGTCAGAGTAAGACCTGATCAAACTGTAGCTTTTAATGGTTCAGAATGATAATAAACTATGATTTAAAAGTAAAGATTCTCTTTTGATTGACAGAATGAAGGTGATTTACAATATTATCCCTGTGCTGCATTAGCCCCATGCTGCTGTTATAATCTTCAAAGCATGTAATGTGTCAGAACAAATCATGGGTTATGGTTATACGTAAAGAAATTGTTCTGATTTTCTGAGCAGGTTTTGCTCAACACTAACCCTCACCTTTGAGGCCTGATTTTCAGAGTCTTTCCAAGAAGATTTTCAGTTTGTATCTGTCACAGGTGAACGTATCATGCAGATGCTGCATTAAGCTTCATGTTCAGAGGTGATAATGTCTAAGCACTTAAATATGATTAATGTGTCACACCATCCAAGATCTCACCTCCCAGATTTACCTTTGACACTCACATATCACTGATATTATCACAGCTCTCTGAATTCCCTTCAGTTTGTGAACTATGTGGAACTACTGAGCAAAGTCATCAGTATCAGAGGTGTAAAGCTGTCTCAATCAAAATCCTAATATAGAAGACCTGTTGGAGAAGGTACATTTTTAGTTGCTAATAGCTCAGTCATTTGACCATCTGCTCAGTCCTAATAAAGTATATTGACATACTTTTATTGAACCTTACATGTATTCGGTTTACTGACCCCTATGGAAAAAAAACTGTATGTTGGATAGGTATGTTTTGAAGCATGGCAGCTGGTTTGAGGTGGTTTAAGCTGGTCCTTAGTTGGTTATGAGCTGGTAAGCTAGTTATGAGCTGGTCCTGAGCAGGATCTAGTTGCTTAGGACCAGCTTATGTCCAGCTAAAACCAGCTCATGACCAACTAAGGACCAGCTCAAACCAGCTACTATGCTTCTTTTTTCAACAGGAACAGTTCAACTGGATGTCAGTTTACATAATTAGGCCTATACTAAAATAATTGTCTAGTTTTCGACGTTACACTTTAATTCAATTTTCATAGTTTGTGATCTCTTATTCAAACCACAAATATTACGAAAACAGTTTTAATCATATTATTCAGTGCTTTGAAATCTTATAGGCAAATAAATGTGATAAGCGAACAGATAATCTTTGTAAATGCTTATGATATATTTATTAGCCACAACACATTTAATCGGCTTCAGTCTTGAATATTAAAACAATTTACAGCCTAATCTCCAGAGTGATCAAACTATAAAAATGTTGTCGCAATTTTTTCGTGGTCACTGTGTAGCCATATCTAGATACAACAGCGCCACCATGTGGAAGAAAAGATGGGACGTGTATGTTTTGTCTATATTCTGGAAAAAAGGCCTTTGGTTATTTGATCAATTAGTGCAACTTTTGCTTCAGCTCTGAGCACATTTAATATTAATTTTGAACAAATACTAGGTATTTACAGTATATATGTGCCTCCAATGCAGTATATTTATTAAAACCATATGAGGAGGATATTCCAGTAGGACTCAATAAAACATGCTGTTCACATGGAATAAAACGTTAATTTATTCTCATTGGCTCCAAGGGTTTATCTTCATCCTTTATGCTTTTAAACTCTTCCTCGTCTGTTGGGAAATCTCTGTTCTTTCAGAGGGAAACCTTCAGCATCCACTTCATTCACCTGTAATTATAATAGAAGGACATCACTGATCAGTTTCACACTGGGAAATGAAGCTGCGGATGTTTTCCAGTATCAGTCATGCTCTTACTATGTGTATCGGTGAAAGCCGCTCCATTGGAGAGTCTGCAGGAATGGACAGTACTGCATCACCAGCATCCATCATCTGATGGAGACAGATTTTTACTCGATGTTAGCACTCACACATCTCAGTACTTTGAATATTTTCAGTTTTTCATGCCACCCCATGTTACAACACTCCCCGGTTACTAAAAAGGACCAAAGTGGACATGCAATGGGATGGACAAACACTTAAAAAATCTAACAGACATATGAGAACAAGAGGATAAGCTCACCCTAAATGTTGCCTCCACTTCACCAACGCTTCTCTTTCCGCCAGGAAGCCAACCGTATGACCAGTGCTGGCAAAGACTAACCTCCAACACACACACTAGCATTAACAACTGGACCAGCAACCTCCCGTTCCACTCCATGCTAAAACTAAAACAAAGACATTTGATAAAGGCAACATTGTACTGTCATATAAATGTTAATTTATAGGAACTTTTGGTGGGTTAGTTAGTTACATTATCTCCCAGTTCAGATTCTTACAATAGGAAAAATGCAATGTTCAATTATTTGGTTCTATAAATCCATTAAAACAAAATTATTAACATCACACATATTAATTTGTCACCTGTCTAAGGAATAACAACTAAATGGACAGTCAAAGTACAACGTGATTACTTTCATCCTTATTTTTCAACAATTTATGCATAAGAAACCATACAAAGAAATTCTATCATTTCTCTAAACAATGTAAATGTTCATGAAAAGGAATTCAAGTTTATTTTACTTTTAAGAGGTTAAAGCAGTGGATTAAATCATATGACTGAATATACCAAAGGTTGTTGTAAAAATGATGGTAAGTTAAGATTTCAAATATAGATTTATGATACAAATATAGATTTCGAGTCGCTTGAATGTTTTCTAAACTGGATGATCATAATGTAAAGTCTTGAATGTAAAGTCTAAACTGGTACATTTATCCCAATCTGATATTCTTAAAACAATACGGAATTTTGAGAGTAAAAAATCTCTTACCTGCTGTCTTTGCTCAAGATGAAGTGTGTTGTTCTTGGTCTCTTTTATACAGTCCTTCTAAAATGAGTTGTAATGCTCTTTCGTCATCGGGAGACTTGCGAACACAGGTGCAGGTTTCTCTCTAATGCACGCTCTAATGCACACCTGGGGC